ATATATATATATATATATAGATAGATAGATATAGATAGATAGATAGGGTCAGGTTCAGTGAAACCACAAAAAATGAAAAACTGAGGAACACTCTGGTAACTATTCATGTAGACGGTATACACATGGGCATACAAGTAATTTGTAAGCTTTTTGTCCGGTATGCACAAATTCATAAACATGCAAACGTTTTTTATAGGGTGTTCCTCAATTTTTCATTTTCTTAGGGTTTCCTCGTGAACCTCTCCCTCCCTCTCTCTCTCTCTCTGTATGTGTGTGTGTATATATATATATATATATATTCTTACATGCTATCAGATCCAAGGTCTAATATTCTAGGGATTCGATCTCTGTGGAATTTGTACTTATCTAACCCCATTTTGACACTCGGGGACATTTTGTGCCCGTCCCATCTAGCCTTTGTTGGAAGGGCATGTTAAGGTCCGACATCAGCTAGACTTTGACGAATTCTTCTTAATATTCGTTGGAATCTCCCTTCTCTCCCCCAAATGGCTCTTTTGGAGGGTAATCTAACGGGTTTGCACGTATTCTAACATTCAAACATGGTATCAAAAACCAAGTTCCACCACTCTAGGCACTCGACCTATAGGGCAATATGTACTCTTCTAGCCCCCTCTCGACACTCTAGGACAATCAATGCCAAAATGGCTCATTTGGAGAGTAATCTAATGGGGTTCCACGTGGTCTAACATGGTATCAGAGTCAAGGTCCACCACTATAGGGACTCGACCTATAGGGGCAATCTATACTCGTCTATCCCCCCTTTCGACACTCTAGGACAATTTATGCTCGTCTATCCTCATTTGGAGAGGGCATGCGAGAATCCTACATTGGCGACTATTTCATCTGAATGTACGTTGGAACCTCTCTTTTATCCTAAGGGCTCTTTTGAAGAGTAATCTAATGGGGTTCCGCATATTCTCATAGAGATATCCAAACCTGATAAATGTACAATACTTGCAATTCTGATACTCGTTTTATGTATTTCAGTTGCGTTGGCCCGCTTTCTGTTTCCGATGGAAGCTAAGGTTGCAATGGAGATTGCTCAAGTTGATGGCACTTCCGAATTCACATTAGAAAGCGTTTACTCCCAGAATTTGGCGAATGCACAGCGAAAGGTGGATTTGAACGATGCGCCGTTCTTGATCAAAGAGGAGCATCTGGTTAGATTAAGAGCACTCTCTAAAACAGGTAAATGTGAATTCTGTTTTGCGTTTTTACCCAAAATTCTGAAACAGACACATTTTCAAATAATGCCATATAAAAAGACTGATAGGATGTTTTATTTCAAAAGTGACGTAAAAACCTTCTTAGGACGCACCACAAGCGTCCTATGAATGTACTGTAACACTTTTACATAAGACGTACAATGTTTGATCTTGTAACATAAGTCCTATAAAGCAGTATATGAGCACATTTGACATATTTGACGTCCTATAAAGCTGATTTTGTTGTAATGTGTTACTGAATAAGTCAAACCGACCATTGTGTTGTCACGTGTACAGTGGAACTTGGGAAACGGTTTTTCCCTCGATGTTCAGAAGTATTGAATAAGATAGTGGACGCGGAAGCACATCAATGGATAGACACCCCGGAAGAGCGAGAATTGAAGAAGCAAAAGTACTTGCAAGTTCAAGAAACGCTAAACAAAGCGTTCAACGAGGATAAAGAAGATTTGGACAAATCCTACGCCATATCTTCTTCATCTTCATCCACATCCGGTGTCGTGAATCCACACACCGCTCCGTTTACTTTCCAAAAATAGTAAACGTAGTACGATACAACTGTAATATTGTATGATGTAATCACAAAATGCACTTTCTTTTTCATATTTTTTTGTATCGTAGGACTTGAATGCTTAAAAACTATATATCCATTAGATTAGATGGATGGTTGAGATTGGTTTGTATGGTTTGTATGACTTTTCTAAAAGGATTGCCGCAACAACCGCCATGCCATGTTATGGCTCAAGGTTTGTGTCATACAAGGTTCTAAATGGCGTGAGGCGTGGCGTGGCGGTGAGGTTAAGCCTCAAGCCTTACGAGTTATGGCGAGGCCATGGCATTTTCCAAGGTGTGACTTAAGGCGGCAAATCTATATTACACACACACATATACGCTCACGCCATGTTAAGACTATGGCATGCCATGGCCTAATGCGCGGTTTTTTTAACGCGATATTTGATTCTTCTATCTTTTAAATGTTTTATTTATTAGTTTTTGATATATATCTTAATTTAAATTGTTTTATTAGATGGTTTTGTAAATGAAACGGTTAAGATCGGAGTTGCAAAATTCGTAAGATTTACATGGGTTGCAAATTAACCTTGGCCTACGCGACACACACACACAGATATATATATATATATATATATATATATATATATATATAGGGGAGCGATCAAATGCAAACCACTCAATTTGTACAAACCGTGCAAACCGCATTCAACCAATCATAATTTCTCATTTTGTTCATTTTTTTGTAATTATGAGAGGTTGATTAATCATTTTTATTGTGGAGGGTGTTAATCATAGATATTATCATCTTCATAATTTTAATTTTAGAGAAATACATGAAACAGTTTCATTAATGTTAGAGAAATACATAAAACAGTTTCATTAAGTATTATATGAAACAATTTCACAACCATATATGAAACAACTTCATCAAAAAAAGTATTATATGAAACAATTTCACAAGATTAAACAATTTCATGAAAAAATTTCATAAGATTAAACAATGAAATCGACAGATGAAGGTGGTTTGCACGGTTTACACAAATGAAGGCGGTTTTCATATGATCACTCCTCTATATATATATATATATATATATATATATATAGAGAGAGAGAGAGAGAGAGAGAGAGAAAGAGAGAGAGGGAGGTAGGTTCAGGAAAAATCCCTTTAAAATGAAAAACTGAGGAACATCCAAATAATCATTCATCTATATGATATTCACATATGCATACAAGTAATTGAAGTTGTTTCTTGGTTTTTATGCATGTGTGCATGTTATGCACCCAGACAAATTACCTACAAATCACTTGTATGCACATGTGCATAAGATCCAGATAGATGGTTACCAGAGGATTCCTCAGTTTTTCATTTTTCTTTACGGTTTTTCTTTGAAGCTGACCCTATATATATAGTGGCCTAATCAAATGAGAACTCGGTAGTTTGTGATAACCATGAAATCCCTTGTGAACCAATCATTTAACATAATTAATATTATTCTTTAAAATAAAGTAAAAGGGTAAATTAGTAATTTGATATTCCCATTTTCTATTTAATTAAACCATGTAACAACTCTCTCTCTCTCTCCATATTTAACAACTATTTCTCTCATTTTTTATTACCAAAATTAATATTTGGTGTTGTGAAGAATGGGTATTAACGTGTGTACAACGGGTACCACAGTGTGTATCACAATGTATATCACATTGTGTATATTGTATGTATTTTGAGTATCATTGTAAGGATCGTTTTTATGTTATTTTTTAACAATGATGATGTTTTTTAAGTATCACATTGTGTATCTTGTGTTCACATGGTGTTCACGAAATAAGGTTCGTCGGAGAGAGGAGAGATAGAATTTCTAAAACACCTAAAATACCTTTTAATTAAACTTCTAAGTCAAAATTACCAAAAAAAAAAAATTAATTTCCTAATTTATCGTTTGATTTGTTGTTAAGATTGGATGTCACATTTATCACATATTACTACGTTCTCTTTTGAATGATCCATATATATAGGGAAAAAAAGTTTAATGGCGGGGACCTCATGGCCCCGTGGTCCACATTTTGTGAATCATACTTGTCATACCTCATAAGCAAGCACCGGAAAAGACAACTTGTCCTCCACTGGAATCGAACCCGGGTGGGCACGCCCAAGGCAAGGCATTTACGGAAGGATGTGGCCACTAGGGCAAGGCCTAATGGTTATAGAGATATATATATATATATATATATATATATATATATATATAGGTTGGTTATTATACAACCATTGACATTTGTGCAACCGATACAACCACATCTCAACCGTTCATTTCATTTTATTAATATGTGATTTCATAGAAGTTTTGATTGTTTCATAATATAAAGTATTGATCATAATTAATGAATCATGTCCATCTTCCATAAATATTCTAATCATAATAAATAAACTTTCATCATTTCCATAAATATCTCAATTTATTAAATTACATTGGTTGTACAAATACAATTAATTATATTTGAAACTCTCTCTCTCTATAAGTTCTTGTAGCTTGAACCCTCCCTCCATTGATTGAGTTGTGGACATTAAACATCATTCACTTTAATAATGCAAAATATGCTTAACCCAAATGGGGAACAATAGTAAACTTTCCAGATATAGAAAGTTAAACAATAGCCCATTTTCTATATCTACCCATGCATACCAAAAATATTAGTTTTTATTTTTCTATTTTGAGCAAAATAGAGCGACTCTAGTTCAAAAAATGTGGACGATTTTATAAAAAAATATAAAAAATACTGATATAAGTGATAACATCTATCAAATTCTAATTTGTAGAGCAGGGGTCAGATAAGGGCGGACCCACCTTAATAGACACTGTGGTACGGGCTACCGTTTATTGGGTTGTGAAAGACGATATTGTATCATTTTGATTTTTGCAACCGTATGTATTTTGAAACTACAACGGGGGACACAAGTTTCCCTTGGTAGAGTCAGTTGGCATGACTTTTCTCCCAATCCAAACTCTGGGTCTGAATCTCTTTTATGTCATTTTTTTTTTTAGTTTTTAGCTTTTAATTTCAGATTTATTATGTTTATAATTTTTTTAATAAAAGACTTTAACACATGACGACCACCCATTTCGTTATACGAGCCGACTAATTACATGGCGACCACTCATTTCGTAGATGGCTTGGAGTCACTGCATTTGAACTTCTGTGGTCATAAGGGGATTTTTATTCCTCCTTAAATTCGATCCTTGAAGTCTAAGCTCAAATCAATCAGACACCACCTTTATGGTTAAAATGGAAAGAAATTGATGTGAAGTTTTGTGGTTTTGTTATGAATATGGGAGACAGTGTGTAGATGTATCTTATAATAATGGAGATTAGCATCATAAAAAGTTATATTTAATCACTTCACAATTAAATCATCCAATCAAATCACATAAAAAATTAAGGACCAAAATAGTCCACGTCATTCACAATATTCTTGATGCTTCTATTACTATGACTTAAAAAAAACATGTGCTTTATTTAAGGTGGAAAACATTTTATTAAGGGGTGTTTGAGATTGTTTATTTAAAATAATTTATGTTTTTTTATTAATAAAAATGTTTATTAATTTATGTGGTATTAAATTGGAGTTTTGTAAAAAGTGTTTGAATTAGCTTATATCGGTACCAAAAAGTAATAAGCTGAGAAGTTAATTTTTTAGTGTTTGACAAATTTTGTTCATATATGTAAAATGACCAAAAAGAACAGTCTTCCGTATTATTAACTTATGGGAGTGTTTGAGATTGCTTATTAACTTATTTCATTTTTTAACATGTAAAAATTTATTTTTCATCATGTATAATAATATTTTTGACAAAAATTTATATCAATAAGATTAATAATTAACAAACATTAATAAAATATGGTTAAAATGGTAAACTGGTAATAAGTTTTTCTTCACAAGTCAAAAAAGATTAACTTATCAAAAACTGCTTATTACTGGTTTGACACCGGTATAAACAATTTTATTTTTCCTCATCCAAACACTAACATTTAGCTTATTACTAGTACCATACTGAAATAAGTCAAAAAAACACATAAAATAAACAATCTCAAACACCTATAATTAATCACTTATATATATATATATATATATATATATATAAGAGGTTGGGTACATGATAAAACCACTATAAAGATTATCTTAACAGTGTTTTGCTATAAAATTTCAAATAAAAAAAATAGTCTACACGAGTTTCACGAAAACATGTTGGTCTCACGTAATCCCAAATCTATATATATATATATATATATATATATATATATATATATATATATATATATAAAAGGAACGAATGTATCAAGAAAAAAGCTTCATATGAGCATTTAACCTATACATGAAACTAAACCACCTCTAATTACACACAAACCATACCCTAAATTCTTTAGAAATTACCACCTTATTAATTATTACTACACCAACTAAAACCCAAACCTAAACATCTATACTCCTTTGTTTCTTCATCTTCTCCCATGATCATTGCTTCCCTGCAACCTGCAACCCCGAGCCGAACTCGAATGCAGAAACTTATCGACATCACGCTGCAGCTCGAATGCAGAACCGTAAGATTGATCATCAGTATAGTATCGATCGAAAAGATCGTCTGACGAAAGAATCAGAAGCTCACTCAGACTTTTGGGATCAGTTCTTCCCATTCTTGGAGATAAGTTTCAGATTGGTTGATCTTTCCTGATTCATCCCCAAATATCAGTTCATCCTCCATCAGTTTCTCCCACAGTATGAAGTTTTCGGAACTGTAATCTTGATTATTCAGTCCAGATTTCTCGCCCTTCTTTTGATCTTGAAGCGGGCTCACGGATTCATCGGAAGAGAATACAGTGTACCCGTCGGATTCGATCATGTCCCATACTTCCTGAACTTGATTCAGTTCGTAACCGTCGGCTGTGTTTATCATTTGCTCAAGCTTTCGACGCTTTCTGCACGTTTCAACACTACCCACTTCTTGTTTCTGCATTAGATGCTGGAGAAGCTGGACGAAAACCGGATTCCTAAACGCTTTCGACATGAAAACTAGCAGCCGTTGTTGCTTGAACTCCGTTCGTCGCATGCGTTCTTGAACGATCTCCAGATGCTTCTCTGTGTTCTCTTGTTGCTGTTTCATCTTTAAGATCTCCTGTCTAAGTGCAGCTCGATCTTTTCGCAAGCTTTTGAGTTCTGATTCGATGGAGGAGTTCGTTTGATGAACAGATGGCGGTGGTGGTTCGAGTTCCAACTGTTTTTGTGTTATTTGCGTCTGGTTTGTCCTCCGCTTGATGTCTCTCAGCAAATGCTTCTTTCCCTTCTGGAACAGCTCGTTGGCGAACTCCCATCTATCCGGATCGATTTTCTTGAACCTCTATAACATCCCAAGTACGCGTTAAGCGTTAAGAGTCGTAAAACGTCGAATTCGACTTAAAAATCAATCGAAATTCAGAGTCGAGACCAACAAGAAAACCATCTTTAATGAAAGTATGCATATAAAACTTCATAAAATTCACTGATTGAGCTTAATTCCTTCAAGAACATGTCTTGTTCCCTTAAAGTTGACTGAAAGTCAAACTGACTTTCTAAACCCATGTCAAGAAACATATGAACAGATGGCAGAACATAAAAAAGTGGACTCATACAACCATGTTTGATTTTGGTTGTATTTCTTTGACGCGGGTTATTTGTTTATCTCTTAATAGTTCTTATAGTTCCAATAAGAGACAACCTCTAAATCGTTAAGAGGTGAATCTTGTTTGGTAAAAGAAAGTCTATCACTTAATCGTTCTAAAACACTCTGAATAGTTTCATTGTACACTATTACCAAACAATTATATTTTATTTTGCACTATATCATGAAAGCATCTTGATCATTTTGACCATTTAATCCTTTTGCACCAAACAATTCAGCAATTGTTAAATACCCTTAAACAGGTTTCAAGAAAAAGCAAAAAAAGTCAAAGGTGGACTAAGAATTTGGTGGATCATTAAGAGCTTTTCTGACTACCTTTTTCCAGGCCAATTTATGGTACCGACTAATCAGGATAACCACGAATGACGAGTTATCGTAGGTAAACCTCCAAAGACTACAATGGTTTTGACCGCGACTGGATTCGAACTAAAGATCAAATTTCCATGCATCCCCTAAAAGACTTAACCAGTGCACCGCAACACAACCTGGCCCGAGGTGCTCGGCGTTTATGGCCGTTTCATGATCAAACGCGGCCGGATTTGGTCGAATTTTTGCTTGAGAACACATACGAACACTGTCGCAACCAAGAGATGTCGGTTTTGGTTCGGGTTTTTCCCCGGGTCGGATCGTTAAAAAGTTAAGGTAGAGTGCTTGAAGATTACTTACATAAGTGTTGAGTTGACGAACAAAGCTCGAGAAATTATTATGCTTGAATCGTTGTGGCAAAAGATCAGTAGAAAACTTGTGAGGATCCCACAGAATGAAGCTTTTCTTAGAATCACTCCAAGATATGATGGAATCGGTTCGTGGGTCATCCACCATTTCGAATGTTTTCTTCAGAAACGGCGGAGGTCCGCCGTCTCTCAGCCCTTCTATCGGCTTCGGCACCCATACCGGAGAAGAACCCGACAAACAACCACCACCGCCCCCACTAATAAAGTCATCTTGATCATAAACTAACATGGGTTCTTCTTTGATCTTCAGCACCACTTGATCTTCCGTTAAACCGCCACCACCGGTGTTCACGAAATCGTCGCTATCCAAAACTAACATGGGTTCTTCTTTGATCTTCAAGAAATCTTCTCCACCACCACCACCACCGGCGGTGGCGTCAAGTTCAACGCGTATGGTTGTTTCTGTTCCTCCTTGCATGGTTAGTAAGTGTGTGTTTTGAAGCAAAAAAGAGGGTGTAAAATTTGTGATGAGTAGGTGTGATTGTCGGTATAAGAAGGGTGGTTGTTGCCGGTGGTTAGCGGTGGTGTGGGAGCATTGAGTGAGATAGAAAGGGGGCGGAAGAGAGGTGGCGAAAGGGGCATGGAGGTGTTGCCATTTGTATACTCCAAATTTGAGACATGTATTCCTTACTTGGACCTACTTAATCCATCTCCCCTTTGCTTTTCGTCATATTTGCACTTTACACCCCTCATAAATCCAACAACATAATCACGATCTTTTGGAGTTTGGTGTGTGTATATATATATATACACTAGTGGCATACCCGTGCGATGCAGTGCGGGTGAATCACAATTATGAAACATTAGTTTATCCTTGAATTATAAGTTTATATGGTTATTTTGCAAGTCAACTAATATATAAAGTTGAAGGTTAATAYRGTKTATTAACAAGATCGAATGGAAAAATAATTGCACACGTATTGGGTTTCTAAATCCATATACTCAGAACTCATTACAAAAATTTGAATTTAAATTTAGTTAAAGTCTGAGAAAACCTCCAAAAGCTGAGACCATGAAACATTTTTGGAAAGATGCTTTATCAGGTCTAAAGCTAAAAAGGGAAGGAAATAGAGATGAAAGGAATAAATCAAAACTAAGACTTTCGGTTTGGGTGATATTGATGGTGTTGTATTAAAAACTTGTACATCAAGCTTTATGAGTTGTAATTAAGATATTTTTGCATAAAATGATTGTACCTTATGCTTAAATACTTGTACTTAAAACTTTGGTTTAAATGCTTATCCTAATAAAATAATTTATAAGACTTAAGTTTATATGAACAAACCAAAAAAACATCTTATCTAAAAATGTTACAATAGATTTATAGACACTTTAAAGTGTTTTAACAAGTTTTTTTTTACAATGCTTCACAAATAAAATATGGTATTAGCTATTTTATGACAATATTTGAAAAAATGTTCTATATAAAGATGAGTTTGTTGGACATTTCTCAAAAATGTACTATAAAAATAGTTAATACAACATTTTATTTTAAAAACGTCCTAAAAAACTTGTTAAGATGCCTAAAGGCGTCCTATAAACTTATTATAACGCTTTTAGATTAGATGATTTATAGTTCGGTTCTGTAAACTTATGTTCTATAAAGTATTTTACCAAGGACACTTAGGGGCCGTTTACCTAAATGCTTACCCGGTAAGTGCTTAGCCTTAAGAGCCAACACTATAATTTATTTTACCGGGTAAGATTGTAGTACATCAAAATTGTATCATATGCAACAATTCATACAACCCTAATCTTGATTGTAGTACATCAAAACGATATAAATACAGATACAACACCCTTTCTTTTTCCCGTGAATAAGTTGTAAATTTTGATCCTTAACCCCACTCCTTCTATCCATCTATGCTTCATTAATTGCATCCATGTTTTCTTTCTGTAATACTCATTTATTTGAGGGATATTTGTGGTTTTGTTTGATTTCTTGAGTTTTAAACCTTCCAAAAGAGATCCACAGAGATGGCAATGGAAGTTGTGAGAGAGAGAGAGAGAGAGAGAGATTACCTTCACAAAAGGCAAAAAGACAAAACAGATGTCAGTGTCTACAATTTTCAATGTCTATATGGGTCTATAATCTATACTATCTTATTAAGTAAATTCATCAAAAGTCTTAAAGTCTTAAAATTCTAAATGAGCAAGATACCATTTTCACTTTTTCATTTTTTCACCCCTCCCTCTCCTCACATACACTCACTCCCTCACATACATTTACCTCTGATCGCATCCTCACATACACTCACCCGCTCACATACATTTACCTCTTACATCCTCACATACACTCACCCCCTCACATACACTCACCTCTCACATTCAACGGATTTTTTTTTAAATTTACATTTTATATCTCTATAATTAGTTAATTAATTACTTTATGTCATTTACTTTTAAATGTTTCATTTTAAACCTTTATCAAATTAACATACATAATCGTATATCAAATAAAACATGTTTAAAAAATACATTTTTATTTTAACAAGTTACACTATTATAATCGTCTCGTTAATACCTTCGAAATGAGTCCAATATTGAATAGTTTTTTACTTAATTA